GGAGAACTATTCATTAATAAAATTGCCTTTATGGTTATTTATGGCCTCTCTATACCAGAAACCCATACATTTTACTGGATATCCTTGGTATTTTACTGCAAGTGTATTTATGTTTTCTATTAATATTACCCAAATGAAGCACATTAGAAACCGATCTGATCCAAACCAAGAGCCTGTGGACTTCAAGTCAAACTTCGGTCAATTCTAAATGCCAAAATTGTCGAAAATATTTGTATTTGTTGGATAAAGCCAGGCTTATACTGTGCGGTTTTTTGCCCTTTTAGGGGGGACTTTCCAGTAGTGTGAGAATTTTCTAATCGGGTCAACTTTCAACCTGATCGGAACCACTGATCTGAGCCACCTCCCGATCAGGAATCGTTGGGAGAAAAATCAAACAAATCGCTCAGTGGGCATGCCCAAACATCTATTCTTCTTTTTCTTCTTCCTCTCAGATGCAGAAGCATGGCGGGGTGCAGGTGAAATGGTTTTCTTTCTGTAAAATTGACAGATTGCAGTAGCCACAATTGTTCAGCTATGCCTTTGTCCAAATACGTCACCACCTATTCCTTTTAGGGTTTTCAACCCAAAATTGCAAAATTGCCAAGGCAGCACGTTTCACTCTAGTGAGCTTCATATTCCTCTTCTACTGGTTTGGCTTCCGGATAGACGAGTCCAAGTAGCTCCATGTGCAGCTGTGTCCGATGTTGTTTTAAGACATGCAATGTGAGCAGGTTGACCGGATCAGAGCGTCTGGCCGCACATGCATTGTGACATGCATTGTTTGTCAACTGTCAGTTGAGAAAAGTAACTCACCAAAATTAACAGATTTGCAAAATACTGAATGAGTTATCAAGGCTTATTTACAGCTACAACATGCGGCATTATGTGTAGACAATATAAATACATGCATTCGACTGTTATATATCAGTACCTTAAGCTACTGGTGTGGGGGATATTTTCTTAGCTAATTTCAAGCTAGCTGATTGTTGAGGCTCACCATCTGCTTTCCTTCACGACCATACAGTACCCATCCTCTGATGGATACTTTTCACAAGATAATGCACAATATAACAAATCATCTCAAACTGGTTTCTTAAACACCATAAGGATTTAATAGACCAATGCATTAGTCCAGAACTGGGAAGCATTGAAAAATTTACATCATGGATCTGCCATTGACTAATCTGTACCAACAGTGAGATACTGTTATATTATTATAGACTAAATTCTGAATGAACGTTTACTGTTGAATATATAACAAAAATAATTAGGTCATTTTTGAAGACAAAGTAGGCATAACCCCAAAACTGAAAAAAAAAAATGGTATCTCAGGATTGATATATCATTTGAACAATTAACTACGTTTCATAAAAACTGTATTTTAGCCTCAAATTTTTAGGTCAAATATAAAACTTTTGGACAAAAAATGTCATCTTACAGACTGAGTGATGATCTTTTTCCACTAACTCTGATTTCATTGTCTGGCATCAACCCACACAACTTGAGGAGGAAAGTGGACCAACCCAGTGAGGAAAGAAGTCAATCATAATGTTAATGACAAGGGTATTATGTTGTCAAGCTAATTCACCTGGAACAGTTGTTGCTGGAATGTTACTATGACAAATGGCCAACAAGGATTAGTTTGTGTCAATCAAAGACACAATAAAACAGATTGATATAAAGTGAAAGAACAAGTTCAAATACCACCGTTGAAATCATCATCAAACAAACATCAAGTGAGTCTGGTAGTTTATTTTCTTCCTATTGATTTTATGGACGATAAAACCTGAATGCATAAGTAGGCTTATAATTAATATGTTGATGTACAACCCTTTGCTTTCTTTACAGAATTTATAGATTTTTTTATTCCATACAAATGTTTTAGAGATGTCTTATAATTAGGGATCAACCGACCAGAAATTCTAGGCCAACAAACATCCCATATTATGTTGTAATAGCAAATAACTGGTATTGGTAAATATTACATACATGTGCAGGCTCGCTTCAAGATGAAAAAGCCCAACAAATTCGGAATATTGGACTGCAATGTGGAGCCCAGCAAAAAAAGACTCCAAGACTGACAGTAAATTCTGTGCAGCCTGCTGTCAAAACAAAAAGTTTTATGTTGGAAGGGCCCAGAACTGTTGTTCTTTAATTGAGGGTCTTGAGGGAGATTTTAAGCAAGCAGCCTTGGAGATTCAAGAACGATGCAGAACTCACCACAATGAAGGCTTTGAAGACGCACAAAGATTCTCACAAAGAGGTATTTTCAGAGAGCAGCTAAATCCACTGGAACCACTTGATTTAGACATCATCACACATCAAAGTAACATTTTTGTTTTTCCTTCTTGGCTGAAGGTGGTCACATCTACACGGACAGAGAGAGACTGGTGCAGACTGTCTACATCCGCAACAAGACGTGGTGTATAAACACAAAGTACACACGGTGCTCATGTTTCCAGCTTCACTGCAGGAGAGAGGGGTACTGGTTCAGAGGAGAAACATTGTAGTCCTCCTCATCCTTAGTGAGTATCCACCCTCGTCTCAGACTGAACTGGACCATTAAATCGGAATTGAATATAAACCGACTGCCGCTCTCATGTTTCAGCCAGGTTTCTGACTCACTCCATGATGAAGATCAGATGTGTCCGTCCTGTCTATCAATATATTATCAGCTACAACTTAATATCAGTAGTTCTCTTTCAACATTCGTTTCGGTATTTCACTATGAGGCACGTGCCCAGCACTGCTTCCAGAAGCTGGATAATATTATGCCAGTATTGACTGGCCCACAAAGGTGACTTCTGCTACTAGAGGAGGGACTCAGGTATTGAGCTAGCTTATAATTTTTAACAGAACAAGTTAACAACTTGGTCGCTGAACACCACTCATTAATGTCATTCAGCTGTTTTGAGTCCCTCTGTCCGCTGCTGGCCTGCCACCAAACAGCAGCAGTTGCAACTGGTTACCAAATTAGCTGCTTTTTAATTTACGGAGATTACAAGGCAGCTTGAACTTGTACTCATCATGGACAAATCACTATGATGAGTACAAGAGCTTGTACATGTAGAAACGTTACAGCTGGGGCAGACACCCACCCTGTCTGCACTTTGGGGCTGGGTCTTCAACATGATGCAGTAATGTTACCAGCTAGCTGTGAGCATAGTGCAAGGCTCTACCTCAAATCTCGTCGGACCCTGTGATAGAGGTAGCCAACCCTCCACCATCGATGCTCACTGTGTCAGAAGAGAGAGATCCCCTTTTTACCGAACCCAGTGGACCAGCCCGATGCTGTCATGCCACTATCTGATCCAGAGGAAGAGGAGGCCAATCTCCCGGATTTTTGAAATCCTGCAGGGCAGTATGACTGCGAGCCTTTTATCATCCCACCAGTGGCGAAGCCAGTTGAGATGGGTGACACTCGCAGCGGCTCCCCAAACCCGTCTGCAATGGACCTGCACATTGTCCGTAGAAGAGCGTCTGCAAAGTGAGGCATTGAAAGGCCTAAGACCTTCATAGAGATCATCACATCTTGGTATGAAGGGAAAAGGCTCCCCAAAGCCAAATCTTCCACCAGGTAGCTCCTACTGGTTTTCCCGGAATGCATTGAAGAAGTGACCCGGTCTTGGACCAACCCTCTCACCGCTAAGAACCCCATCCTGAGAGCGTCGGCGCTGGATTGGGGTGGTATGGAGGACAGCAGCTTCAGACATTTACCTCCCGTCGAACCGCTGCTAGCTTCTCACCTGCACCCATCACAGAAATCTACAGTTGCAGTGGCAGGACCCAACTTTCCTTTCGAAGCGGATTCCTTTCCATCTGCTCTAAATGAGAAGAACTACAAAGTGGTGACTGCATCGTGAAAGAGCTTAATGCCTCATCTCTCCTTCTGTCTTAGCAAGCTACAGGAGCTACAGGAGCAGATGACCGGTGCACCAAACGCAGGTCTTTGGGAAGAAGTGGACGTGGTGACAGACCTCTGCATGGTGACAGACCTCAGGTTTTTTTTTTCATAAATCACATTTTTCAGCTCCTCCACAGCATTATCCTTAACCTATATTTGTTCTAGGGTGCTCTTCACCATAGTTTTATCATACAGCTTATTTCGAGTAGAAGTGTTTACCTTTGTTGTTTTTTTTAAAGAAAGGGAAGTCTTAGTTAAACAAACAATAGCAGGAGGACAAAAAAAATTGTAAGGGATGACTTAAAAAAATATCTAGCCTTTATTAGTAGGATAGCTCTTTTTTATCAGATAGGGGTTGTTTGAAAGAAGGTAGCCCTTAGAAGAATGAGAATGAGAACCAAAAGACAAAATCTGACTCAAGTGTTGCTGTGATTTTTTCTACATTCCTAAATCTAAAAGTTACAAGTCAATCAGTCTTTGTATCTCTAATTTCACTATGTGATCACATTGTTTTTCAAGTTTTATTAACAATGTCTGCATTCTTACAATAACGTGTGTTTTTTTTCTGTTTTTGCCAAGGTGGACTACAGTTAAAATTTAGATGGCTTAAGCCCATAACCCTGTGGAAATCATTTTTCAACCTGGAGAGACTTCCAAGGAGAGAAAGGAAGTTTATTGACATGAATAAATGTTTTCGGTGGCCAGACACCGAAAAAAGACATGATGAGTATTGGCAGTATGGGCAGATATATGATAATAGAGATGTCTCCCCCAGGCCTGAACATTGATGGTGGCATGTAGGTAGACCAGGGTGGTGAAGGGGGTGAAGGTGGGTTGCAGCTGGATGACCTTGATGAAGATTATTGGTTGATTAAGATGCTCGGAGAGCAGGAAAATTGGCAGATGTTGATCTGGCTGTTGCAGCAGTCTTAATCTTAAGCTAAAACTTGCCGGATATTTTATGTTAGAAATAAACCTTGGATAAAAAAACTGTAGTCGACATTTCCTTTTCCAGTTCAGTCAGGGTTAAAGATGTAAGAAAGGAATGAAACACTTACAATTAATGTGTTTATTTAATTTATTCAAAGTTGCTCCGCCTATTTAAAAAAACATCTGCACACAATATGATTTATTACAAAACAGAATAAAAAATTCTAAGTACATCATTATTTTTTATCTTACACAAAGATTAACATAATTTGGAATGACGTCGCAGAAAAGCTCCACCAAAGATTTCATTGTGAAAGGTCACATAGAAGAAAAAAAGAGCAGAGCTTATACTGCTGCAGCACATGTTAGGACAGGATTAAACTGAAGTCTTTCAGAAACTGATGATCATAACATAGTACTTCTCACTTTGTCAAAGATCTGGTGAACCCTTGCTGCAGGAACACAACCTTCCCTTACAATACTGATGATTCCTGCGGAAACAGTTAGTTGAGTTGAGTTAGCAATGCAAAATGCCAGGGCTGAATCTGGAACAAATGAATCACGAATGTCTGCAAGTTTTACCTTCATCAATCCTCAAACAGTTGACCACAGTGGAAGCGACAACCTCATTTGAGCCACCATCACAGAGAACCCCTTGGATTTTGTGCCCAAGTCGACTAGAGTAAATCAAAGCATTTCACACAATTAGAGCTCTGATGGAACAACATTATTAGTGCAATAAATTACACATATACTTGACACATTAAGTAAAGGAAATTCTGTATGTAATATGCTTATGTATACACACACACACACA